CAGATGGAAACTGGGGTTGGGGAGAAAGGTCCAACTGGGGCAGCGCAGGGGTCTGGGCAGAAGAGAGGCACTCAGTGAAAGCCAGGAGGCTGCAGCCGCCGCTCATTTGCATCATAAGTGATTGGTTTTCCCTGCTCGTCCCTCATTAGGACACAATGGACAGTTGTTTGCTGGTGCAGCAGATCCATTTACCAAGGGAGAGACGAGACAGAGCAAGAGTGACTGATGGGCCATAGAGAGGGGGTAGGTGTGGGGGTAGCTGCCTCCCCTCCCCTGCTCCCCCAGGCTTCTGGGAATCTTATGTTCTTACACACTGAGCAGGGACCTTAGAGAACAAGGCAACTCCCTCCTCTTACAGATGAGGAGACCGAAGTGGTAAGAGGGGATGAGACTTCCGAGGTCGAGTTCCTGGCAGAACTGGTGTTTCAAAGTCTATGATCTGAATTCCAGTCTCTCGTTTCAGGATTCACCCCACGTGTCTGAGATACCTTCTCCATTCCCAGCCTGTCGTTCTGTGTCGCTGCGGTCTCTTTCCTCCTGTTCCAGGCCTTCGTTTCCCTCAGTTCTCTCTCCTGTGTGCATTTCGTCTCTCCGTTCCTGCCCTCTATCTTTTCCTCCCGATTTCCAGGCAGCCAGGATAATGACTAAACTTCTAATTAACCCCTGTCCTAATAAGGGTGGGTCTGGCAGGAGAGGCAGCAATTTTGAAACTGTCTTGGTGTGTCTGAGAGATAAGTGGGGGGAGAACTGATATGCGTTGGGCCTTTTTTTTTTTTTTTTTAATAGAGCACAAGTAGGGGAGAGAGGCAGAGACAGTGAGAGAGAGAGAGAATCCCAGGCAGGGTCCATGCTCAGCATGGAGCCTGACGCGGGGCTCAATCCCACAACCTGGGATCACGACCTGAGCTGAAATCAAGAATCAAGACACGCAACCGACTGAGCCTCCCTGGCGCCCCATGTGGGGCCTGTTGTAAGCTAGGCAGTATGACAGACACTTGACATAATTTATCTTATTTCATATTTTCAGTCCTGCAAGGTAGATAGATGTTCTTAGAGACAAGAGAGCAAGAGAGGCTCAGAGAGGTTGGAAACACCCAGCTGGCAGATGGTGGCTGTCTAGCTCCCATATCCCTGGTCCTCCACCCCTGGCATAGGGGCTAAAGCAGGGTACAGGGCCCAGTGATGGGAGGCACAACCTCGCTGAAAGACCCCACTGATTTTTTGCTCCCCCGAGGCTGCACCTGCCTTTCCCCATGACTGTCTCTATCTTCTGGCTCCCACCTTCCTCTGGGCCCCTCTGCATGGTGGTAAAATCTCACAAATGCGAGTTTAGGCCCCTGGGGGTCTGGGGAGGCAGCAGATCAAAAGAGAGAAGCCCAAACGGGACAAACGTAGCTGCAGACCCTGGAGGTCTCCCTCCTGCTGCCACCCCTTCCCAGTTCCCTGTCTGTCCCTCCCCTTTGTGGGTCGAACTTGCCAGCATCTGCGTCTGTCTCATTGTGCTCTTGGGGGAAGGGGAGAGTCGGGGGGTGAGTGGGTGTCTGTGTGCATGAACATAAGGCCTTCGGGTTCATTCTGACACTGAATGAAAAACTCACCAATTATTCGTCCAATCTCATTAATATGCAGACAGACATCTGTTATTTAGGAGTCAACAGCAGAAGCATTTTCTTGGGGGGTGGGAGGAGCACTTATGTACATGCTCCTTGTTTCTTTGGCTGCTGGGGTGGGTAGCTGCTTGGGAATCACCACGCCCCCCTGGACCTGGAGCCTCTCCTCCCTCTGACCCTCACCCCCACCCAGGAGGAGGAGAGGGAGCAGGGGATTTACTAGAGATGGAGGCAGACCTGGGAACTCAGCTGGAGGAGGGGAAGGGGGAGAAGGGCTGCACTGTGTAGAAGGAACTCTTTTGTTGGCAGAGAGGGAAGTGGGGAACAGTACAGAAGAGCTGAACCCCTTTCCTGGGGTTTCCAAGTGTGAAGTAGGTGGAGACAGCTGTTCCAGGATTGCCTGCCAGGGTCCCGGTGTCCGCTGGGAACCTCAGGGACATGACCCCTTTCTCCCCACCTCCCTCAGCCTGCAGTGTACACTCAATCTGAGTGTATCTGGGGTGAGGTCGCCATGGCAACGTGGGGTTCTCACCCAGAGACTTCAGTTTATGGGGGAGTTCAGAAAAAATGGGGGCCAAAGGACTGCAGCCTTTGGAGTTATTAAAGGTCTCTCTGGCCCTTGGGGTAAACGTGGGAGCAAGACACCAGAGATCTCCCCCTTCCTGTCTTTTGGCCTTCCTCCAGCCTTTGAATCCAGAGCATCAGAATCCCCCTTCAAGAGGCCTTTCCTGATTCCCCTGGGCTTGGCTCAGAAGCAGTAAGGCCTGGGTGTCTAAGTTTTAAGGAATAAAGGTTCACCTATAAAGGGTCAAAAGGCTTTTCTACATCTGTTCTCCTCTCTGGATCTTCCTCAACACAACGAGGTAGATGCAGTGAGTGGCTCTTTTCCAGGTAGAGAACCTCACCAAAGGCTCCCCAGGGAAGGAGCGGCAGAGCTGAAACCCGCGCCCTCTGCCTCGACATCTCAAGGTCTTTTCAGGACTGTCCCTTCTGGGAAGGCTGGAGTCCCAGAGGCAGGACCCTCCTTCAGAGGAAGCATTTCAGGGGTTAGACCCAGTCTCCACCCCTACTGCCCCCACCCCCACCCCTTCCTTCTCCCTCCTCCCTCCAGGGTAGGCTGATTGCAGAGGTTAAGAGACACTGGCAACATCACAGCGTGATTAGTTGTTTATTTCATTAAATGATTAACGAGGCTACATTGTTTCCCAAACGGGTGTCTAATTTGTGGGGGAAACAGCTGCAGAGGAGGAAGCTGGGTCTGACTCCTGCATCTGGGGTGGGGGTGGGGGTAAAGTTCCCTCCCACCAGCCTGCAGGGGCCTTTGAGGATCTAGAAACAGCCCTATTCCCTCCTCCCACCCATTGGACTCCCTGGCCCAGTGGCACAGCCTCCTCCCCGGAAATAAAACGTCTGGCAACTCAGACCTGCAGAGGAGACCACAATCTGTTCCCGGTGGTATTGGAAATGTATTAAACTTTGGGGGATTCCCCCCCCCACTGATTTATTTTGCTAATTATGTTTGTTTTAGGTGGATATTGAAATGCATTTGCATTCCCTGAGTGGCAGGAGAGGGCAATTGGGAGAAGAGAGGGGCCCAAACATTCTGCGCTTTGGTGGCTATAGGCTTGAGTCTGCTTTGTATCAAAGTCCGAAGAGGAGAAAAGAAGCCATGGCCAAAATCCCAAGGTGATGGTGTGGCAGGTCCCTGTGGGGAAAGGGTCAGTCCTCTGGGACCAGACTGAGAGCCACCGAGCTGGAACCCAGCCCTCTCAGCACCCCCAATCCAGGACTCAGGGTGCTGGAGGAGGGTCCTGGAGTCAGCCCCTAACCTCAGTTTGGGTGCCCAGCACCCATGAAGCTGTTCCCGAATCCTTGAGACTAGCTGAGACGGACTGGAACAGGGTCCTCTAGGACAGGGAGGGAAAGGGGTGTCTCATGAGCCAGCAGTGGGTGGGATCTCCTTTCTTCTCAAGACGGGGCCATGGCATAGGGAAGGAGAAGCTGTTTTCAATGACACATCTCTGAGCCAAATCTCCCAGCCCCCGTCACCTCCTCCAGATACGCATCCATCCCAAAACCAAATCTGGTCACTTCAGTCTCTGCTTGAAATCCCTGGTGCCTCCTCACATCTCAGAGTGAAGTCCTGGCTCCTTTGTGGGCCCGAAAGTCGCCTTGATAAACCTTCCCAGCCTGGTCTTCTGCTCTCCTCGCTGTGGCAGCCCCAACCATGCCACATTCTTTCTCATTTCCATGTGTCTGCACATGCTGTACCCTCTGCCCAGAGTGCCTTTCCTACCCTTCCCTGCCCACCAAACTCGTCTTCAACCCTCAGGACCTAGCTCAGAGCACTGGCTCCTGGGGCTGTAAGGAGCTCCCGCAGACAAGCCACTGTCACACCCAGGACACCTCTCACTGGGCTGGCCTCCAGAGCGCAGAGACTGGTCCTTTCAGAATCCAAGCCGGTGTCTGACACACAGTTGGTGCTCAGTACATATTTACTGAATGAATGAGGGAGGGACGGGCTGTGAATTAGGGGGGAGCCCAGCAGATGGGAGGGTAAGGTTTGTGTGCCCTCCCAGAGTGTGTATGGGAGAACTGGCTGGGGCTAGGGGGAAGGGATGGCCAGGGATGGTTCCTGGGGGAGAATGTCACCGAAAAGAGGCCAGTGGGACCAGAGCCAGGGAGGGAATACAGGACAATGTGAAACCAGACTCCCAAGAAAACAGACCAGCACTGTCTTTCCTGACAACAAGAGCTCGGGCCAGCCCCTCCACTGGCTTTCCCCCTCCAGGGGGCTGGGGGGGGGCAGTGACCCTAACTCACAGCTGATGTTCCCTCCAAAATCATCGAGGAGCTCAGGATGGAAAGAAGATGAGAGCCCCTGCCTTCACCTCCAAGGAGACCCCAGAATCAACTCTTGTCCCCTTGGATAACTTCACTGCACAGAAGGGTCAGCTTCTGTGCTGTGGAGGCTTTTGATACTCTCCCTTCCCCCACAACTCCCAGGACACCAGCAGATTCCAGGCTGGGGGATGGATGGGGTGTGCAAGGGGCCTGGACTATGGTCAGCAGGACCCCTCCCACACTAGCAGGTGGCCCCAGCTGGGCTGAGGAATGAATTGCACATCAGTCCACTTAAAAATCCCTAATGGCCTTAGGATTGTCTGACTCATTAACTGAGATGAATATTCCCAAGACCTTTCACTCCCCCACCTCTGGCTCCTAAAAGGACACTGCTAATCTGACCCAAGGCCTCTTCCTTTAACTTCCTCTAACTTCCTCCAACTATGGACATAGACAAGAAAGTTCTTCCCAGAATTTAACCTTCCCTCCTGCTGCTAGAGATTGGTAGATTGGGTTTTTAGAAAGCAACAAAACTAAAGCCACAGCCGTTTTCCATGGACATGGGCTTTATTTGGGGACAGTTGCAGGAAGGGATTGAGGGAGCTAGCACTGTGGGTAGAAGGGAGAAGGACTCAACTTGCTTTTTAATTTAGTGCATGTTGCCTGGAGGTTAGGATGAGTGAGAACAGCTGTGGAAGGGAAAGGCGAGGAAAAGGGAAGGTCACAGAATGGACACTTTCCTTAGGGAAAGAAGCCAGGGCCAGGATATGGGGACTGGGGGTGGGGAGGGAAGGCACCCTTCATAGGCTAAGCCTCAACCAAGGTCACTGCTTGATGCCAACTTCCCCAACCCCCGCCCCTAGCCCCCGGCCCGGCTCCCCGTCTTGCTAGCTTCCTCAGCTTCCTATGGAGAAGAGGGGGATGAGGATGGGGGGATGGTGGCCCCCTTCTGCCTTCAGCTCTCCTGACCAGAAGAATCCCTCACTCGGCCTGCCCTGAAGTCCCTGCCAGAGTCAGGAGTTCAGGAGCCAGGTGCAGCAGGGGAACAATCGGGCCCTTGGCCACTGCTCTTTACACTCTGCCCCGCCCCAGCCCCTCACATGAGATTGCAGCTCTTGGCTCGATCCTTGTGGATCTCACTCTCGGTCCCGGTCCCCCGGTCCGGCCGGCCTGCCAGCTGAGCGGATCTCTGCAGTCCACGGCGTGAGTCAGTACGACGCAGCTGCCTATGGCCACGGCCAAGGGAGGCCACTGTGGCCACGTGGAAGACGTCCCTGACGCTGCGCTCAGAGGACCGGGAGGAGCACTCCACGTAGGACACGGCCCCTACCTGCTTGGCCAACACAGTGCCCTGGAAGGATGGAGGGAATGTAGGAGGTTATGGGGCTTAGGCTACAGCTCGGCAAGGGGCAAGGGGGGCTGAGGGCAGTGGGGGTGGAGAGAGTGGGCAAGGGATCGGGTCATAGATCAGAAGCCAGTGCAAGGGATGAGCCGAGCAGGGTGTTTTCAAATCAGAGACAGAGAGGGGCAGAGGTGAGAGGTCTAGGCCGGGACTAGGTCAGAGGTCAAGCGTCCCACCTGTTCATGTGTCACGGGGATAAGCCTCTGTTTGGACAGCTCCCTCAGCGTGGCCAGGTCCGTGCGCATGTCCAGTTTACAGCCAACCAGCACAACCTTGGCATTGGGGCAAAACTCCTGAGTCTCCCCTTGCCACTATTTGGGGGAAGAAAACAGTTATGGAAGGGGTCGGTGAAGGCACATGGCGAAGCTTGTTCCATGCCAGGGCAACACCCTTCCTCACATCATGCAGAAACCGTGCACCCCTCTGTCTGGACTCTCCCGCATGAGCAAGGAAGTAGGAATGGTGGCCTTGGGCTGAAAGCAGGATGGGGGGTAGGAGAAGGGGAGAGAGGAAAGGGCTGGCGTGGGGCTGTAGGGTCAGGGGCCCTGCTTCTACCTCAGTGGCCATGAAGGGTCTACCAGCCTGAAACCCACCCCCTTTCCCAAATTTGTTCCTAGGAACAGACTGATCGGCCCTCCCTCCTCCACCTGGGACCTAGGGCTGCTTTAGCTGACTTCTGTCCATTCAACATGGGCTTTTCTCCTGGAAAGAGAGGCCTGGAGAGGAGACCACAGGGCTCTTCTGAGCTCCTGGAAGAGCATTCCCATTCCCTCCATCTGGGGCTCCCACACCCAAGGGGACGGGGAGGATGGTAAGGAATCCCTTGAGTACGTCTTCTTGCTCTCCTCTCTCTCCTACCAGATGCTGGATCCAGCTCTGAGGACGGACTTCTAGGAAGCAAGGGTGGGGGGTGAGGGGTGAGGGATGGGGGGGTGAGGGGGATGCGGAAGGAAGAGAGCTTCACACGCTCTCCAGCTGATGACCATGCCCTAGGTATCACTCCCTCCTCCAGGCCATGTCGCATCAGGACCTTGGTTTCTGGTCCCCCTCAGTGTACGCCATCCTGTTTCCCCAGGCTCCCACCTTCTTGAGGACGCTGTCCAGTGTCTCTGGTCGGCTAATGTCGAAGCAGATGAGCACAGCGTCTGAATCAGGATAGGCCAGAGGCCGGACGTTATCATAGTAAGAAGAACCTGAGAGAAGACAGGGAGGGAGACGGGGTCCTGAGTGGGTGGGAGGCCTGGAAGGGAATAGGAGACCTTACCACTCCTGGCCAAGGGACGCTAGGCCAGGCGACGGAAAGAGAGCAGGTATTAGCACCCATCAAGGAGTCTGGGTTTCTTCAAGGAGGGGAGCTGGCAGAGGGAGGGAGGTTAAACGGCAGAAAACAGCTCTCCACTTCCCCAGGGGTTTCTTTAAAAGTAATCATTCTTAATCTTTTCTGAGTCTTTGAGAAGCTCATGAAATCTCTCCACATTCTCAAAATTTTGCCTGTGCTTTCTGAGCTTTGACTGACGTCTTCTAAAGCCCTCCCTGGGGAAGCTGAGTAAAAATAAAAACCTCCTCCTTTTTTGGAGGAGGGGGAGGGGCAGGGGCAGAGCTCCCGCACAGGCTTGGGACAGCTCAGATTTCTATACTTCTGTCTGTAGAAGCAGCTCTCCACCCGCCCCCCCCCCAAAGAAATCCCAAATGCCTTTCCTAAACCCAGCCCTATCTCCTAAGAAACATGTTCCAAAATAAATCCATTCTTCACAACTTTCCCAGGTAGGCAGAATCCAGCGGAGAGGATTGTCTCCTGGGCTTTCTCCCTCCCTGGGGACAAGGTTTCTATGGGTCTCTGCAAACTCTACCTCAGTTTCTCTTGCTTTAAGTAGAAAATTGATTTTCCTTCCTTCTAAAATTGGATGGATGGGCTGGGCTCACCTGGAGCCTAAGGGTCGAGCCGAGGGAGGGGCGAGGGTAGGGGCCTTGGAAGTCAGGGTGACCCCAGGGACTTGGCTACCTGAAGTGTCCCACATGTTGAGCTCAATGCGGCGCTTGTCGATCTCAAAGCTTGCGGTGTAGTTCTCAAACACGGTGGGGACATAACTCTGCAGACAAGGATGGGTCAAGATGAGATCCTCCAGTCTTCATCCCAGACAAATGCCCTCCTCACTCCCACACACCGTCCCGCCCAGCCCCTGGACACAAGTTGGTTTGGTGTTGGGCAAAGGGGAGATCCCGGGAGCGGCTGTCTCAGCGGAATGTGTGCTAGGCTCCCAGACCCCCTCCCGGTCCCTTCGGCCCCTAGTTCTTCCCCTCTCCAATGCCCGGGACCCCCGACATTCCCCTAGCGTCCCCTCCTGGATCCCCCGGTCCTCCGAAACCCCATTCATCTCGCCCTGCTCCCCAGTTCCTCCCACCCCAGTCCTCTGCAGTCCTTCCAGAGTCCCCAACGCCTCCCTCGGTCCCCGGTCCTCCGAGCCCCTCTCTCTCGACCCTGGTTATCCTGGCACCCATTTCTGTCCGTCCCTAGGGCCCTAGTCACCCACCCCCGCGGCCTCAGCACCCTCCTCCCTAGACGCGGGTCCCTCACCCCGGGGTAGGCGTCCTTGGCGAACACCTGCAGCAGCGCCGTCTTGCCGCACTCCGCGTCCCCCACCACCACGATCTTGCAGCGGCCGCTCTGCCCCTCCATAGTCCCGGCTACGCGCCGGCCCCCCGCGCAGCCCCCCTCCGGGGCCCCGCTGCCGCCTCCCCCGCCGCTGCAGCTGCAGCCGCTCGGGCCGCCGACACCGGCATCTCGCGGGCCCGCGCCGAGTCCCCGCCCGGGGCCGCGGCCCCCCCCCCTCCGCCCCGCCCCCAGCCCGACGGCCGCGCCTCCGGCCCCGCCTCCCGCCCGCGCAGCCGGAGGGGGCGGGGCCCAGAGGAGCCGGGCGGGGCCCGGGGAATGCTAGGGCTGGGAGCTGGGTACCAGTACGCTGGTGTGATCTGAGGGACCCCTGCGGGTTTGGGGCAGGTCGGGCCGGGCTTATGTGACTGTTTTGACTGCGTTGGGGATGGGCGCGGGGCAGAGTTCGAGCGAAGTTCTGAGAGGCAGGTGAAAGCTGCAAACGCGCGAGGCTCCGGCCTTCTGCGTGCCCACGCGTGCACGCCGGTGTGCTAGTGCGGCCACGCGCGGGGGCAGCCATCCACTTCCTGAACAGGAGGGGGCGCGAGATGGTAGGAGAAGGAGGGAGTCCTTTTGGTTTGGTCTCCCCCCTCCACTCTCACGTCCCGGCAGGGAGTCTTGGGGATAGGAGGCTATGGACTCCAACACACCCACCCGGACAATGGTGACATCATGGCTTCCAGTCCCCTTGGCAACAGTCGGCCTAGTCTGGGGCTGGGGTGGCTTAACGGGAGGGCTTGGGCTAGCAGGGAAATGTGGACGGAGTTTCTCCAACCAGGCTCAGGGTGGAAAGTTTTGGGGGAGCTGCGTCCTCTGGTGGATACTTCGGGGAGACACAGATGGGGAGGAAGAGGAAAATAGAACTGCCCAGAATGACAGCCCTGCAGCAGCCAGAGACAAACCCTAAAGTCATTTAAGGCTTGATCCAGAGTCTAACGATGACTACACAACTGTTTTGCATTTGCATGGTATCTTTTACCTTTTAAAAGCGGCTTTTTTTTTTTACATCGGTTATACTCGATTTAATTTTATCTTTTAGAGCGAGCAGTATCATCACCGTTTTACAGAAGGGAAAGTTGAGGCACAGAGCTTTAACAGTCAGATGGAAAGTTTTAAAGACTCGGTCTCCCTGCTCCAAGATGCCACTGCAAGACCACACGAATAGGCTACATATGGGTAGAGTCAAAGCCTGAGGAGCAGCTTAGTTGGGCTCCAGTCCACAGGTGGCTGGCTCCCCAAATCTAGTGTAAGCTGAGGTTTTGGGATCGTCCTTCAGATTGGCCTTGTACATATTGTTTAACTTGCATAAGGTTTATTATGAATACATAAGCAAATTAAGTAGCGGTCTGCATGACCTTAAGATGCCCTCTCGAGGGTCTGTCTCCAGATGTTCCATGTCTTCACTTCTCGCGCTTCTGCGACACACGCGCGGTGGCCCTTTAAATCGGCGCGCGAGGCCCCGCCCCCGGCCCGGCGCCCCTCCCCTCCCGCTCGGAGTCCACCGCCGCAGCTACTCCGGTAGCGCGCCCCGCCCTCCCCAGCTGTGCACCCTGCGTCCAGCTGCGCGCACGTCGGGAGTCCCAGACATGTCCGCGGAGAGAGAGGTAGCCGAGGCAGCCACCGTGGTGGCGGCGGCCGAAGCAGGGGCCGGAGAAGACGCCTCTTCTCAGCCCCCGAAAGCCGAGGCAGCTGGCGACGCCCAGCCACCCGCGCCTTCCGAGGGGGCCGCGGCCGCGTCGCCGCCGCCGCTGCTGCGCTGCCTGGTGCTCACGGGCTTTGGCGGCTACGACAAGGTGAAGCTGCAGAGCCGGCCGGCCGGGCCCCCGGCCCCCGGGCCCGGCCAGCTGACGCTGCGCGTCCGGGCTTGCGGGCTCAACTTCGCCGACCTTATGGCCCGGCAGGGACTGTACGACCGACTGCCGCCGCTGCCCCTCACTCCGGGCATGGAGGGCGCCGGCGTCGTTGTCGCAGTGGGCGAGGGAGTCAACGACCGCAAGGTGAGCGGGCCAGGGCAGGGCAGGGCAGGGAGAGACTGCCCAGGCCTTGGGGCAGTGGAGCTCGAGTGGGTGGGGGCCGGGGGTGTGGCAGGGCGGGAGAAACTGGCACCGATCCAGGTAGAAGGGCTTGGAAGGCTTAGGAAGGGGGTCTGTGTTCCGAGGGCCCTGGAGAACTGGGTTTATATTGGGGCGTAGGGAGTGGAGATGGAATTATCGACCCCTCCTCAACCATTTCAATTACGGCCGCCGCCCAGAAGCCGCCGCCGAGACTGTGGGTTGGGGTGGGGGGGAACACAATAAGGCACCCATGCGCACGCGCACAATGACTTTCCCAACTCCCCCCACACCCCCTCCCCGCCTCGCCCCCCCCCCCCCCCCCGGCTTAAAAAGATCAATGTTTCTCTGGGTGAGTTTGCATGTGTCTGTTGTGTGAAACCTGTGCTCTCTCACTCACTTTCCACTAACCCTCCCTTTTAATTCTNCCCCCCCCCCCCCCCCCCCCCCCCCCCCCCCCCCCCCCCCCCCCCCCACCGGCTTAAAACCACACCTGTACCCCGGCCCACCAAACACTGCCTGGGTAATTGTGGTCTGTGACCCTGAGTACCGATTAGTGCCTCTTTCCCCGAGGGAGCTTAAGGAGCTATGTTGTCAGGGTTGGGCGGGGACGCATGACCCTGCCAGAGCCCCAGTCACATGCAGCCCCGTGGTCTGTGGGGGTGTGAGGAGGCCCCTCCCAGAGCAAGGCCAAAGAGACGAGGCACGCCCATCATGGAGGATAGGGAGCCTGCCACTCGCCCTCCCACCGGCCTTACACACGGCCTAACTCTGCTCTTGGGGTTGGCGGGGAGGAGCGGGGGGCGAGATCGGGCCTCTGGATCATTGTCTTAGGCTCTCTGTGTCCCGTGACTACAATATCTCCTCCTCCAGTGACTCAGCCAGAGGGCCACGACCCCAGGCTACCCTTGGGAACGTCGGAGGGAGGGCAGGGAACACGCCTCCGCCTTCCTCGAGGAGGACCCTCACCTCAGAAACCGCAGCGGTGTCCATCTGGACTGGGGTGGGGGGGCGTGGTACCGGGAGCAGGTTGGCCCAGCTCTGCCGGTCTGTTTCTCTTTTCCTTTATCGTTAATCTTGGCCGCAAACCCGGACACCAGGGAGTTCCAAATGAGCAGTTTTTTGAGAGAGTTGGGGTGAAGCCTTTGCATGTCGTTTGTTTGGGGGTTTATTTTTAAATCAGCCCCCAGCAAGGGAGGCCCCTCAGATGCCTGCCAGCCTCTTACACGACCTGCTAGTCCCAGATCCCAGAGCTGGAATTCTTGGATTTATTGTGCATGCAAACATCTCCTCCTTAAAGGGCTTCTCCCTCAATTCAGCTCTGGCCCCACCCTTTCCACTGACTTCTAAGTAATTCTTGAGAAGATATTAAGGAATTTTGTGTGTATGTTGGGGTGTGGGGGGAGTTGTAGTTCATGTTTGAAGGCCACCCACCTAACCTCCCTCCCCACACTTTCCGCTTAGTAAATACAGGATATCCTGTCCAGGCCAAGAACCTGATGTAAGAGGCTGGATTCTGTGGGGAGAGCCCTCCCTCCCTCCTGATGTCTGGACTGGGGAGGGGTCATGGTCCTGCCCTGTGATGGGCTGAGGGGTGGGCACTAGCCTAGGTGAGCAAGCCTAGTCCTGAGCCAGACTGAGACTGGTCAGGACTGGTCACGACCCAGGCTGAGCACACTGCTCTTTCCAGCACTCCTGGGCTATTTCTGAGTCTGCTGGTCCTGAGGTCCTGGGGTGGAATGCTTCACATTCCCCAGACCTCGTCTCAGGCCAATGCTTGCAAGGAAAGATCTCAGCCTGCATCCTCGTTGTCAGTGGAATGCGGGGACATGAAAAGGGGTGTGTGTGGGAGTCCCATCCCCTCTTCCCATGCATCCCAAGTCCTCCTTAATATACAGAACTCCCATCATTCCTGGCAGGGACCAACAGAGACCCAGATTGTCCTGGAATAGCACCCACACTTCCCTCTCCTGGGGCTTCAGAGAGTGAGGAGAGGCCTGTCTTTCTCCTGAGATTGCTGCTTTCCCTCTGCCTTCCTCTTGCCCCCAGATGCTAAGCTGGAGGGAGAGATTCGGTTTTCTTTGCCCCCTTTCCCTCCTGCAATGAGGCTCTTGTGCTGGTGGCTGAGAGAGTGGGGGCCGAGGGATGCTTCTTCCTGGTGGATAGGGTTGTGTGGCTGTCCTTGCCCATCACCCCTCCCCCTGACTCTGAGTGAAGGTGTTTTCTAGGCCCCCAGTACTGACTCAAATGCTTCTCAGGAGGTGATTGCACCCAGCCCTTGCTGCTCAGAGATCTTTAGCGGCACTTTATCATTCTTATTACTTCATACTACGAACTGCTTCCTATGTGCCAGACACCAGGCTAAAAATTACCAAGTGATTTTTTTTTTTGCCACTTAATCATCATAGCTACCCTGTTTTACAGACAGGAAAACTGGGGCTCAAAAAGGTTAAATAAATCTTATTTGCCCAAGGTCCACACTGTTCGGTAAACAGCAGAGCCCATCTTTCTTTAACCGAAACAGTTTGATCTCTTTAACAATACTTCAAACTGCCCTGACTGTAAGCTTCTGGCATTCAGGGATCTTACACAATAGTGAAGTTTAAGATCTGTAAAGTGGAGATAAGGATAGAGCTGGTAAGGATTAATTGAGCATTTATATAATAATAGACTTATAGCACTTAGGGGCACCTGGGTGGCTCAGTCCATTCAGTGTCCAGCGTCGGCTCAGGTCATGATCTCACGGTTCACGAGTTTGAGCCCCATGTCAGGCTCTGTGCTGACAGCTCAGAGCTTGGATCCTGCTTCATATTCTAAGTCTCCCTCTCTGGATACCTTTCCCCCACTCACATTCTATTTCTCTCTCTCTCAAAAATAAGCATTAAAAAAATTTATAATAGACTTACAATACTTATAATAGGTCCTGGCCCTTAATAAGCACTCAATAAAGGTAAGTTAGTACTGTTTTTGATGGTATTATTACTATTACTATTACCATGACTACCGTGGCTGCTTCTATCTCTACTTCATTGCCAGGAAGAGGACCTTGTACGTAGCAGGTGATAAATCACCAGTGGGTGAAGGAGCGAGGGACTGAATGATGCTCTTCTTCCATTCTTCAAGGTGGGGGACCGGGTGATGGTGTTGATCCGGTCAGGCATGTGGCAGGAGGAGGTGACTGTGCCCTCGGCCCAGACCTTCCAGATGCCTGAGTCCATGACCTTTGAGGAAGCTGCTGCCTTGCTGGTCAATTACATCACAGCCTACATGGTCCTCTTTGACTTCGGCAACCTACGGCCTGGCCACAGCGTCTTGGTACACATGGCTGCAGGTGACAGGCCCCCTCCCTTTCTCCCCTCCTCCTTACCCCACCCAGATGTCCTTCGGGCCCCTTCCCTGCAGCCCGGCTGGACGGTTGTCATGGCAACACCAGGCTGCCTCGGCCTATGGCTCCCAGAGGCCTCTGCAGTATTGTTGCCGTGGCAACATTCAGGCATCAGGTCCAGCCTGGTGTGCTATCCATAGCAACGTGCCCTCACCCAGCACCCCCTCCTTTGCCAGCTACCCTCCCCCCAATTCTCAATCATGGAAATTGGACATGGTTATGAGGAGAGAAAGCCTCAAAATGGGCCTAGGCAAAATGAAGGTGACGAGCAGAGTCCTTGAGAGGCAAGAATAGAGAGCGGTGGCGGGGTGACTCCACATCCCCTCCTTATGAGAGTGTCTTGCTGCAGGGGGTGTGGGTATGGCCGCCGTGCAGCTGTGCCGCACAGTGGAGAACGTGACAGTGTTTGGAACGGCTTCGGCCAGCAAGCACGAGCTGCTGAAGGAGAACGGGGTCACACACCCCATCGACTACCATACGACCGACTATGTGGATGAGATCAAGAAGGTCTCCCCCAAAGGTGGGATCGGGGTATGGGTATGGGCAGGGGCAGGATGGCAAGGACAGGGATGCGGCACTCCAGATCTATGGACCCTAATGCTGTCCCTGGGCCCCCATGCTCTGTGACAGGAGTGGACATCGTCATGGACCCTCTGGGTGGGTCAGATACTGCCAAGGGCTACAACCTCCTCAAACCCATGGGCAAAGTGGTCATCTATGGTGAGTTAGTGGGCTGGGGCTGGAGGGGGGAAGCAGGGTGGGTCTGAAGGGTAGGATGCAGGGGCCCAGGGACTCGGGTTAGGGGCTGGCCTGGGTGATGCATTCAGATTGCTGCCTTTGGGGGGACATCTACTGTCGTTCTCGTTCTCGTTCACTACTTTTCCTACGAGTCACAGTGAATTGTGCGTTCTTTCTGTGCTCCTATTTGGGGATTTTTCCAGATGCAAAATCAATCAGCCTGCCTTCCTTTGTGCTACCTTCCTGGGCTTCTTGGTCAGGCTTGTATTTTCATTTGAAAAGCGATTTCACACATGGGGAGCCTGGGTGGCTCAGTCAGTTCAGTGTCCAACTTCAGCTCAAGTCATGATCTCACAGGTCATGATTTCGAGCCCTGCGTTGGGATATGTCCTGACAGCTCAGAGCTTAGAGCCTGCTTCAGATTCTGTGTCTCCCTCTCTTTCTGCCCCTCCCCAGCTCACACTCTTTTTATCTCTCTCTCCAAAGTAAGTTAAAAAAAGAAAGAAAGAAAGAAAGAAAAACTATTTCACGCACAAAAAAAATCAACAAATAAATAAAGATTCGGGCAAGTTTTGAGTCAGCTGGGATCCGTCTGGGCCTGGCAGCCAGCAGGCGGGGGCTTATCTCGTCACTCCCAGGCACTGCTGTGGGTGATTGTAAGAGGCCCAGAAGGGGCGGATGAGCATGGATTTGGGCAGGGATGTGCCCAGCACCTGGATTCACAGGCCACGTCTCCTCGTCCCTCAGGAATGGCCAACCTGCTGACAGGCCCCAAGCGGAACCTGATGGCCCTGGCACGCACTTGGTGGAACCAGTTTAGCGTGACCGCGTTGCAGCTGCTGCCAGCCAACCGCGCGGTGTGCGGCTTCCACCTGGGCTACCTGGAGAGCGAGGTGGAGCTAGTCAGTGGCGTGGTGGCCCGCCTCCTGGCTCTGTACAACCAAGGCCGCATCAAACCCCACATTGACTCTGTGTGGCCCTTTGAGAAGGTGAGTGTGATGGCTATGCAGGGTGGGGGGGCGGGAGGGCACAGGAGGGCCCCTGAAGCCTGGGGCCCCAGGGGTAGGATTCCTGGCAAGGGGAGGGCTGACTCCTTTAGGCTGGCTCTCCCGAGGGGCCAGATGGCGCTGGGAGCAGAGTCTTGTCTTCCTGTGCAGGTGGCGGATGCCATGAGGCAGATGCAGGAGAAGAAGAACGTGGGCAAAGTCATCCTGGTGCCTGGACCGGAGAAGGAGAACTAGGCCGGGGCTGGCGGACCCTCGGGACCTGGGAAGAGAGAAGCTAGGGAGCCACAGCGTGTTGGTCACCAGACTTACGTTTCGTCCTCCTTATAACGCTCTCTGCCCACTCGCCCCCGACGGTCTCCGTGGTGATGACCTCTCCCCTGCCCTGTTCTTTCTCCTTAGGCAGGGCCCCCTCCCCCCTTCCTGCCCTCTGAAGAGGTTGGGAAGTGACCACTTGGATGTCTGGGCCCTGCCAAGGGGACAGGGAGGGTCAGAGGGAGGCCGGCTGCTTCCTGCCCCCACCCTTTCCCTGGGCCTGCTGTGCTGCTTTTGTGCCAAGGTTAGCCAGTCCTTTTCCGTCCAGTTCTGTGTGCTTCCACCTCTGTCTCATCTCCCCTCCTGCCCCTGCCCCACACACCCCCGCCCCCAAAGAATCGAAATGTCAGCTCAGGATATGGGGCCAATCCGTGTGATTCCAGCATGTCCCTGTCTCGCCCTCGTGTCCCTTCAGCCCAGGCCAGCAGGCGCCCACTTCTGAACTCTGTTGTTCCCTCGTTGCATGGCCTTGTCCTCTGGTCCCCATCTTCTTGAGCACAGCTGGGCTTCTTCCACCTCCGGGTTTTCTGCCACTCTTAACCAAGGCTGCCTCTTACAACACGGGTGGGAATCTGACCTGCTTCCCTAGGTCCTGACTCTGTGGGAGGGACACAGAGCCCCACCGCCCCCCTTCACTGAGTTCTAGTGGATTTGTTCTCAGTGCCTTAGCAACGGAAAACCTGTGCTTGTGCGTCTGAGTGGGTGGGGGGGTCCCCGTCTCACACCTCCTCCTCCGCCCCTGTACTCCCCGGTGCCTTCCTCGTTCTGGTGGAGGTAGGCTTTCTGCCTCTCTGTCCCACAACACTGCCAAAAATCTGTGTGCGCATGCTGGGGGAGGGGGGGGCAGCCCCTAACCTCCCCGGGTCTGTGCCGTGTTCCGTCTATGGGGCTGTCATTTCTCTCTGCGTGGTAGAGGAGAAAAAGGCGGGGCGGCGTTCTCAGCCTCGCAGATAAGTGTGGCATTTACCAGCCAGAGCTCTGAGAGGCAATGCCATCTGTTTCTTGTTCTGGGACCAAAGTCAAAATCGAAGCACATTTCCCGTGTCGTCCAAGGGAGGCCCACTGCCTTCTCAGAGCAGGAGGGCAGCTTTTCAAACTCAGCCCCAAACTTTGTTTACATGGGTGGGGAGATGGAACAGGGGAATAAGGAGGGGGGTGGCGAGGACCTGGGCCACCCGGAACCAAAGTGGGGACTTCCTGGTGCGGGGGTACGCCTCCCTCTGCTCCCTGATACGGAATTAGGGAAGGTTACTGCCCAGCTATTGCCAGCGGGAGGTGGGGGTAGGGGCTCTGCCTCTTCAGTATCTAAATGAGGCCTAAACTTGTGAAGGGCGATTTCTGCTTTTGTGTACCCCACCCCATTGCCGTTACCGAAGCTGCCTTTGTGTTTGTGTCAATAAAAAGCCAAACCCTGGGTCCTGGATGCTGCCTCTGAGAGTGGAGGGGAAGGTGGGCTCCTGGAAGGTTAGGGCTCCTCCGTGCTCACATCAGGTTTCCTTTCAGGAAATGAAATGAGAAGATGGTCACACCACTTTTATTGTTCTTGGGACGCATTTCACAAGCCATAATCCCAGCCGCTGTTGATGGCGCCCTCTCTCACACCTGTGCACCCACCTCCAGCCTGGTTCGAGAGGCTTGGCAGGGGTGCAGGTGAGGGGATGAGAAGGGCAGGCTCTTAGCCCGCCGTGCTGGTGAAGACCACCAGGCCCCGCTGGCCCGGGGGCACGGCTGTCAGGGCCTCCACCTCCCCACCTCCATGGGAGGGCTTCTGGAAGTAGACCTCCAGGATGTCCTGCAGCTCCGGGCCGTCCAGTATGTCAGGAATGTTGAGCACCAGCACTGACTGGGCCACTGGCCGGAACACGATCTGGAACAGGAGCCAGGAGACGGGCAGGGCTCATGGGAGTCAGGGACTGGGGGCAGGGAGTGCCCCCAGGGTTCTGGGAAGGGCCGGGAGCCCTGAGAGGCTGGCTCTTAATGGGGAAGGCAGTGGAGTCTGGGGACTCTGATCCTTTCTTAGGCAAGTTTCTGGCAGGCAGACAGGTTCCCGGCCCAGCCACCAATTCACCTTCCCACTTACCTCCGCCTTCTGGATCTCCCCACTTAGGAAGGGAGAGATTCTCAAACGGAAGCTTTTTGTGCCCAGTGGCACTGTAAACTGGCCAGTCTGGCACAGGTGCTGGGCCACTGCGGGGACGGAAAGTGATGGACCTCTGCATCCAGGGCTCTTCTCCCCCGTGGCCTGATGCATCAGCCCCAATCTCGTCGGTAGGGCCCTTACCTGCATTCTTAGTGAAACCCAGCACGGCACCCCCTGGCAGCAGCTTCCGACTCTCCACATCGCCACCCCCGTTGCTGGTCTTGCCAAAGAAGATCTCCAGCTTGTCCAGCAGCACCTCCTCACTCAGCCCGAGCCCTGCAGGAAACCCAGTGACCAGCACACTCCTCCTGCTTATGTGTCTGGACACCTAGGGACAGACAGGAAGGAGAGGTATAGCCCCCCCCCAGCCCCCGTGCCCCAGTGCATGTCCCCCTGCATGCCCCAGGACGCTGTGGTTCTGTCACCTGCATGGTGGTCACCATGGGCAGCTCCAAGGACTGGACTTGCACCCGCAGCCGGCACTCATCGATGTCGATCTTATGCTCCTTTTGTCGTAGCACCCTCTGGGCCACTGGGTCGGGGAGGCAGGGTCAGTACCGGGAAGCCTCCCAGCCTCCCTCCCAGGGGCCTCTGCGAGAGCTCACCCTTGGGGTCATCGAAGGTGACCAAAGCAGAGCCTCCAGGCAGAGGGTAGCGGATCCGCAGTTTGGAAACTGAAGACTTGGGCACTTCTGTGCCCTGCTGAGTGTGTCCTCGGAACACCATGGGGACCAAGGGCACTGGGAATGGGACCTGGAGGTGGGGGAGGGGAGGCGGATGCAGCCTTCAAGGGTGGGAGAGGCCCCACCGCCCCTCGGACGAAAGTGTTCCATGAGATTGATGCCGGGGATGAGTACACTTGTTGAAAGGAGAGCTGGATAAATGGGTGGATGATCGTAGGTCAAGCCTGTAGGAGCACTCGCCACGCAAGACGTTAGTTTGTCCTCACAAGCCTGCGAGGTTGGTAGCTCCGTTTTAAAGATGGGAAGACAGGTGCACAGAGTTCAAGTAGCATGCTGGAGGTCATGCAGCAAGAAGTGGCAGAGCCAGGAGAGAAACTAGTGTTTTCTACCGCGCCACACCCCTCTCCCAGCGTACCTGGTCCTCCGGATGGGAGAAGCCCTTGAGTTCCCTCCTCCGCTGCTGCAGCTCCTGCAGCCTCCTCTTTAGTCTGGCCTGCTCCTCCCGAAGGCCACGGAGGGTCTATTGTTGGGGGTGGGGGGGGAAGACCAGACATTCATCTGCCTTCCCAGACAATGAGCTCAGGGAATAGAGACCCGATTCTGGACTCTCACAGCTGATGCTCAGCTCCGGAACAGCCCAACCCCCTCCCCCTGCCCCGGCTGGCTCTGGTCCACTCTCCTCAGGACTCAGCCTCATCTCAGCTGGGGGAGGGGCAGGGGGAGCCCTCCCAGCAGCCACAGCTGCTTCGTTCCAGAAGCGTTTAACTTCGTTCCAGAGCTTGCATTTAACAGACACTGAGCTCCTGCCATGGGGTGCTGGCCACTGGCACAGGGCAGGGGGGACAAGAGGCTGGCCCTCGGGTCTGTACAAAACAGTACCCAAGACAGGGTACCCTCACATGACTGACTGTGGAGGACATCAGGAGTATGGAGGAGGGACAGTTGCATAGGGCTTAACATAACTAGGGAGGCCTCTGGGAGGAGTGGGGTCTTAGAGGGGCAAAATGTCATACTATTTGCTAACTTTTTAAAAAAATGTTTGTTTTTGAGAGAGAGAAAGAGAGGGAGAGAGAGCATGAACGAGGGAGGGGCAGAGAGAGAAACAGAGAATCCAAAGCAGGCTCCATGCTGTCAGTGCAAAGTCCGATGTGAGGCTCGAGCCCACGAACGGTGAGATCATTACTGGAGCTGGAGTTGGATGCTCAGCCGACTGAGCCACCCAAGTGTCCCAGCTAACATTTACTGAGCACTTACTATAATATTTACTGCGCACTTACTCTGCTAAGCTTTAATTAAAAAAGTTTTTTCTTTTCTCTCTCTTTTTTTTTTTAGCGAGAGAGAGCACGCAGGAGATGGGAAGAGGAAGAGAGAAATCTCAAGCAGGCTCCATGCTCAGCAGAGTCCAACGCGGGGCTCGATCCTACGACCCTGGGATCGTGACCTGAGCTGGAATCAAGAGTAAATCAAGAGTCGGATGCTCAACCAACTGAGCCATGTAGGCGCCCTGTGCTAAGCTTTTTATGGCATTTATATGGCTCAGTTCTTGAAACCACCCTGTGAAATAAATTCCCTCTTATCCTTATTTTACAGATGACAAAACTGAAGCTCAGAGAGGTTAAGTGAAGTCATTTGGTCCTCTGTAGTCTGACTCCAGACTGCTAATCTGTGCTTTACAGTGAAGATACCAAGCACAGAGTCGGGGAGTAATTTACCCCCCATCTCCCAGCTTGTCCCTTGACTGCCATTCTTTCCACTGCACCGAGCAGCCTTTCAGGCTGGGTGTGATTTGGAGCAAGTCCAGAGGCAGAGAGTGACAACATGGGCAGGGAATGACACCAGGGATACGAATAAATGCACCTTTGTTTGTGGGTTGGAGTGGATGTTAGCTGGCAGAGTTCACTCTGTGGTTGGGAAGCCTGATAAATAAGGTCAGCTCAGAGAAGTGCGAGCTCACTGGGGAAGGAGGGACTCTGCCCTAGTCATCTTTGTACCCCAGTGTTCAGCAGAGTCCCTGGCACAAAACAGGCATTCAGTAAATGTGTGTTGAATGAATGACTGAATGAACGAATGGAGTGAATTAATGACAGAATGGGAGGATATTACCCGGGGCATTGAAGACATTTGGCATGAGTTCACTCTATTTTAAGCAGAGAAAAACTAGGACTTGACCAAATAATGCTGGTTTATGAGTAGTGAGAAAGGTACTTCGTTCTTTATACATCTACAAATAAGGTACATTTAAGGGCCAGTTAGATGACATCAATGAGTCCAGGGAGCCAGTGTAGACCGTAGGGAGTGCTAGGGACTCACAAACTGGAGACAGCATGCCCCCACTAAAGTGGCAACTTCTCGGGGCGCCTGGGTGGCTTAGTCGGTTAAGCGTCCGACTTTCGCTTAGGTCATGATCTCGCAGTTCGTGGGTTCGAGCCCCGCGTTGGGCTCTGTGCTGACTGCCAGCTCAGAGCCTGGAGCCTATTTCAGAGTCTGTATCTCCCCCTCTCTCTGACCCTCCCCTACTGATGCTGTCTCTCTCTCCTAGAAATAAATAAAACATTAAAAAAATTAAAAAAAAAAGTGGCAACTTCTCAGCTCTAACCAAGATTTTCTTTTCTTTTTTTTAAGTTTATTTCTTTATTTTGAGAGAGCAAGAGCATGTGCAGGAGGGGGGAAGGGCAGAGAGAGAGAATCTGAAGCAGGCTCTGCACCAGCAGAGTGGAGGCCAGTGTGGGGCTCGAGCCCACAAACCATGACATCATGACCTGAGCCCAAACCGAGAGTCAGACACTTAACCAACTGAGCCACCCAGGAACTCCATCCAACCAATATGTTCTCACATGGAAATGTGGTTTCTGGATCCTGTATCTTCCTTTTTTTTTTTTTTTTTTAAAGTAAGCTCTATGCCCAACATAGGGCTTGAACTTAACCCCAAAATCATGAGTCAAGTGCTCTACCAACTGAGCCAGCCATGTGCCCTGTATCTTCCCATTAAAAAAATATATATTTATTTATTTATTTTGGGAGAGAGTACAAGCAGGAGGAGGCAGAGAGAGGGGGACAGAGACTCTGAAGCAGGCTCTGCACTGACAGGCTGACAGCAGGGAGCCTGATGTGGGGCTCAAACTCATGAACGTCAGATCATGACCTGAGCCAAAGTCAGATGCTCAACCGACTAAGCCACCCAGGTGCCCCCCCATATCTTCCCATTTTTAAGGAAAATTAAAAACCCAAATTTTTATTTGAAAGAGATGGCTCAATTTAAAAAAACATAAGAAAAAGTAAATTTAAAAAGAAAATGATTCAGTCCTAAGTTCATTCTTTTTACTTCTGCTTTAACTCTTGATCTAATTATTTATAATTGTTTGAAAATCTAGTAATTGGCAATGCTATTTAATAAAATAGCTTTTAGGGGTGGTGTCTGGGTGGCTCAGTTGGTTAAGCATCCAAAAACTGTCGGTTTTGGCTCAGGTTATGATCTAACAGTTTCATGGATTTAAGCCTCTCATTGGGCTCCATGCTGACAGTGCAGACTGCTTGGAATTCTCTCTCTCTCTCCCCCCACTTGGCATTCTCTCTCTCAGAATAAATAAACTTTAAAAATTAAAAAAATAATAAAATAAAATAGCTTTAAAAAAGGGCACCGGTGTGGCTCAGTCAGTTTAGCATCTGACTTGATTTTGACTCAGGTCATGATCTCACACCAGGCTTTGCTCTGGTAGCACGAGCCTGCTTGGGATTCTGTCTCTCCCTCTCTCTGCTCTTCCCTTGCTGGCTCTTTCTCTCTCTCTCAAAGTAAATAAATAAACTTTAAAAAATAATAAATAAGTAGCTTAATAAAAATAGAGTTAAAGATGTTTAATGTTTATTTATTTTTGAGAGAGAAAGAGAGAGACAGAGTGCAAGCTGGGGAGAAGCAGAGAGAAAGGAGACACAGGATCCAAAGAAGACTCCAGGCTCTGGGTGTCAGCAGAGCCCGACGTGGTCCTCAAACTCATGGACTGCGAGATCATGACCTGAGTGGAAGACAGACGTTCAACTGAATGAGCCACCCAGGTGCCCCAATATAGAGGCTTTTTTTAATGTTTATTTATTTTGAGAGAGAGAGAGAGAGAGAGAGTGTGTGTGTGTGTGTGTGTGAGTGCGGGTGCATGAGCAGGGGAGGGCAGAAAGAGAGAGGGAGAGAAGAGAGAATCCCAAGCAGGCTCCATGCGATCAGTGAAGAGCCCCACTCCTGGGTTTGATCCCATGAATTGTGAGATCATGACCTGAGCGGTCCTCGAGTTTTTAAAAGAACCATTGGCGGGACGCCTGGGTGGCTTAGTCAGTTAAGCGTCCGACTTTCGCTTAGGTCATGATCTCGTGGTTCGTGGGTTCGAGCCCCGCGTCGGGCTGTGTGCTGACTGCCAGCTCAGAGCCTGGAGCCTGTTTCAGAGTCTGTGACTCCCTCTCTCTCTGACCCTCCCCTGCTCACGCTGTCTCTCTCTCTCCTAGAAATAAATAAAACATTAAAAAAATAAATAAATAAAAGAACCATTGGAGCAGGGGAGTTCAGATCTACTACCAGTAGGAGATGGAGAACTAGTGAAGATTTCTGAGGGGGGGCGAGGTGGTGGACATGGTATATAAGAGAGCAACTTGGCAGCCATGGCAGGATGAGCTGGAGCAGTGGGAACTGGGGAGTGAGACTCGGAGGTTCTAATTTCGCCTCATGTGATAAGCTGAGCAGGACCCTGGCAATGGGCACGCATGGGTGAGCACATTTCATGAAGCCCCTGGACACTGTGAGTGTTTATATTAAGGAGACAGAATGGACAAACTGGAGACACAATGCCAAGGTTGTAGACCTGGGTGTCAAGAATTTGGTAGAATCAGGGGCACCTGGGTGGCTCAGTCAGTTAAGCATCCGACTTCGGCTCAGGTCATGATCTCACGGTTTTTAGGGTTTGAGCCCCATGTAGGGCTCTGTGCTGACAGCTAGCTCAGAGCCTGGAGCCTGCTTCACATTCTGTGTCCCTCTCTCTGTGACCCTCCCCTGTTCATGCCGTCTCTCTCTCTCTCTCTCTCTCTCAAAAATAAATAAAACATTTTTAAAAATTAAAAAAAAAAAAAGAATTTGGTAGAATCCACTGCCCCAGCAGGCCAGGGAAGAGAGCCAGTGGTTATTGGGGACCCACTAGGTGCCCGGCACAGTTGGACTCCATCTCATTTAAGTATCACAAAACCTCCTCCTGTCTCCAACTCCCAACGGAAACTTCTCTCTTCTAGGACCTTCTTAAGGACAACACGGACTGACTGTAGTCACTTACATGAATTCAACTATACATGCTACTATTTGTGTGACATGATAACATGGTCTCCTAAATGCAAGCCATTGTGCATCTGGTGCTTAATGAAAAAAATCAGAATCCATTGTACATTGAGCTCATTGAGAGGCTATAAGTTCTGGATACTGCAGGGTGAGTTAATGATTTAAGGTTAATTTTGACCACCGACATTCTTCTGCCTTACCTGGGAAATGTACAACCTAACCACCCCATAAGATAATATCTCCTGCCGCCTATGTCCATCAGAGGGTATTGGGAGGCTGTTCAGCAAAACGGTGAACAACACAAGCTGGGGGCACTTGGGTGGTTCAGTCGGTTAAGCATCCGACTCAGTTTCAGCTCAGGTCACCATCTCACAGTTTGTGGGTTCGAGCCCCACATCGGGTTCTGTGCTGATGGCATGGAACCTGCTTGGGATTCTCTCTTCCTCTCTCTCTGCCTTTCCCCTCCTGGCTCTCTTTCTCTCAAAAATAAACAAACATTAAAAAAAAAAAAAAGAACACAGACTCTGGGGCCAAACCTCGGAGGCTTACATCCAGCTCCTTTTAGTACTGCAAGACAATGAACAAGTTATTTAGCTCTCTGTGCCCTGATTTCCTCATCTGTAAAATGGACAAAATAGCAATTTCCACCTATAATTTTGTTGGGAACAATGGTGTCTGGGACACGATGAGTGCTATGTCAAATGTTTTCTATTTTCGGAATCCTCATTTTATACATGAGGAACCTGAGGTTTGTCAGGGTTAATTAATGGGCCAAAGCAAGTCAAACTTGAGGCCAATGAAGACACACATGCTCAGGGACAGGACTTGGTGGAAATGACTCTGGGCTGGAGCAGCATGTGGTGATGGAAGAAGCCAAAAGGAAGGAAGAGCTCTTTGAGGGACAGAGCTTTAAGAATGTAACCTTGGGGGTGTCTCGGTTGAGCGTCCAACTTTGACTCAGGTCCTGATCTCACTGTTCATGAGTTCAAGCCCCAAAACTGGGGCTCTCTGCTTTCAGCACAGAGCTTGCTTTGGATCCTCTGTCCCCCTTTCTCTCTGACCCTCCCCACTCACACACTCTCTCTCAAAAATAAACATTAAAAAACAAACAAACAAAACTCAGCCCAAGAGAGGTGCCCATCTGGCTCAGTCAGGAGAGCATGTGACTCTTGATCTCAGGGTCTGAGACTCAGACCCATGTTGGGTAGAGCTTACATTAAAAGAAAAAAGCCAGGGGCGCCTGGGTGGCTTAGTCGGTTAAGCGTCCGACTTTCACTTAGGTCATGATCTCGCGGTTCGTGGGTTCGAGCCCCGTGTCGGGCTCTGTGCTGACTGCCGGCTCAGAGCCTGGAGCCTGTTTCAATCTGTGACTCCCTCTCTCTCTGACCCTCCCCTGCTCACGCTGTCTCTCTCTCTCTCCTAGAAATAAAACATTAAAAAAAAAAAATTTAAAGAAAAAAAAGAAAAAAGCCAAAAAAAAAAAGCCCCCACAAAAAAGACAAAAATAAATCTACATGTCCAAAAATAGAGGAATAGCTAAATAAACATATTAGGTAGCAATTAGAAGACATTGAAGAACATTTAACGATATGAAAAAATACTCAAAAGAAGCTAAAAAAGCAAAATATAAAGCTGTACAGAAAGTGTGATCCCTATTCTGTTGATTTAAAAAGTTTCATTTCAGGGGCACCTGGGTGGCTCAGTTGGTTAAACGTCTGACTTCGGCTCAGGTCACGATCTCACAGTTAGTGGATTCAAGCCCCGCATCAGGTTCTGTGCTGACAGCTCAGAGCCTGGAGCCTGCTTCAGATTCTAGGTCTCCCTCTCTCTCTGCCCCTCCCCTGCTCACGCTCTTTCTCTCTCAAAAATGAGTAAACATTAAAAAAAAAAGTTGGGGCGCCTGGGTGGCTTAGTCGGTTAAGTGTCCGACTTTCGCTTAGGTCATGATCTCGCGGTTCGTGGGTTCGAGCCCCGCGTCGGGTTCTGTGCTGACTGCCGGCTCAGAGCCTGGAGCCTGTTTCAGAGTCTGTTACTCCCTCTCTCTCTGACCCTCCCCTGCTCATGCTGTCTCTCTCTCTCTCTCCTAGAAATAAATAAAAACATTAAAAAAAAAGTTTGGGGCACCTGGGTGGCTCAGTCAGGTAAATGTCTGACTTCAGCTCAGGTCGAGATCTCATGGTTCATGGGTTCAAGCCCCGTGTCAGGCTCTGTTCTGATAGCTCAGAGCCTGGAGCCTGCTTCATATTCTGTATCTCCCTCTTTCTCTGCCCCTCCCCCATTGCACTCTGTCTCTCAAAAATAAATAAATGTTAAAATAATAAAAAAAGTTTTGTGAGCGGTGCCTGGGTGGCTCAGTCACTTGAGCATTGGACTTTGGCTCAGGTGATGATCTCGCAGTTTGTGATTAGAGCCCCGTGTCAGCTCGCTGCTGTCATCAGGGAGTCTGCTTCAGATCTTCTGTCCTCTGCTCCCCACCCCCCACACTCTTCTCTCAAAAATAAATCAACATTAAAAAAAAGTCATAAGGGCGCCTGGGGGCTCAATTGGGTAAGTGTCCGACTCTTGCTTGTTTTGGCTCAGGTCATAATCTCACGGTCATGAGATCGAGCCCCACATTGAACTCTGCTCTGAAAGTGTGGGGCCTGCTTGGAATTCTCTCTCCCTCTCTGACTGCCCTCCTCCCCCATTTGTATGCCCTCTCTTTCTCTCTCAAAATAAATAAAAATAAACTAATAAACTAAAAAAAAAGTCATAAAAAATGTCTCCTGAACCCATCTTAGGGGTAGGAGTGAAATGGAAGCAAATCAAGATAATCTTGGGGAACTGAGGTTCTGAAAGGTTGGCAATAATATTAAGAATAACAAGGGGCTCCTGGGTGGCTCAGTCAGTTGAGTGTCTGACTTCGGTTCAGGTCATGATCTCACAGTTTGTGAGTTTGAGCCCCTTGTCAGGCTCTGTGCTGACAGCTCAGAGCCTGGAGCCTGCTTTGGATTCTGTGTCTCCCTCTCTCTCTGCCCCTCTCCCACTCATGCTCTGTCTCTCAAAAATGAATAAACATTAAAAAATTTTTAAAAAGAGAGAATAACAAACACATATTGTACATTTAGGAGGTGCCAACCAGTATGCTGTTTTTACTGTATTGATTTATAGATTATCTGCTTGAATTTTTTTTTTTTTAAGTAGTTTCTACACCCAACATGGGGCTTCAGCCCTGAGACGACCCTGAGATCAAGAGCGGCATGCTCCATACCGACTGAGCCAGCCGGGTGCCTGTGTCTGCTTTAATTCTTGCAGGTAGGTGTTCCTATGAGAAAGTGTTACCATCATTCCCATTGTATAGATGAGGAAATGGAGCTTAGACTATACATTTTAGAGCAGCTAACTAACTGCCCAGGGTTACACAATTGGAGGAACCAGGATTTGCAATCATATAGGCAGGCTCTAGAGCCTGTGATCTTTCTTTTAAGATTGCATTTTATCGGGGTGCCTGGGTAGCTCAGTCGTCTAAGCGTCCGACTTCAGCTCATGTCATGACCTCATGGCTCCTGGGTTCGAGTCCCGCATTGGGCTCTGTGCTGACAGCTAGCTCAGAGCCTGGAGCCTGCTTCACAATCTTTGTCTCCCTCTCTCTCTGACCCTCCCCTGCTCATGCAGAAATAAATTTTCTCTCTCAGAAATAAATAAAACATTTAAAAAAAGATTGTATTTTATTTTAAAGTTTATTTATTTATTTGTGGGGTAGGGGCAGAGAGAGAGGTGGGGAGAGAGAGAATCCCAAGCAGGCTCTGTCCTGTCAGTGCAGAGCCTGATGCAGGGCTTGAACTCATGAACCGTGAGATCATGACCTCAGCTGAAGTCCAGAGTTGGACGCTTAACCAACTATGCCTGAGACATTCAGGTGCTTCTTTAAAGATTTTTTTTTTTTAAAGTAATCTCTACACCCGACATGGGGCTCAAATTTACAACCCTGGGATTAAGAGTTGCATGCTCCACCGACTCAGCCGGCCCTGAGCCTGTGATCTTTCTTACTACATGTGAGGGGCTAGTGAGAAATTCCCAAGCAAGACATCTGAGTCTTTATAACAGATGGGGTAGTATCAGGAAGGGGGAAACGGAAGAAACTGGAGAGGGGAGGGGCTTCATTCATTCAGCGGCTGTTTATTGAGTGCTGAGTGCATGCCAGGCACAGTGCTGGCATGTCTAGGGATCAGTGAACAGGCTGGACAGGGACCAGGCTCCGTCTAGCAAGAGTAGGATTATTCACAGGTCAGGAAAGGGAGGAGCACAGCACATGGTGGGAAGCTGAGCTCTCAGAGGAGGGACATGTCTCCCTGTGGCCTGGAAGAGGGCCCTAAGGTTCAGCTGAAATGAACAATAAGGCGAGGGACTATCTAGTTCAACTCTAAGATGAAATATGAGGGGAAGCCTGTTGGGCAAGAAGATCTCAGGAGATAAGGGTGTGAACAAGTCTTACACTTTTTGGGTCCTAGAACCCTTCGAGTATCTAATGAGAACTACGGATTCTCTCTCAGGAAAATGCACGTTCACACACGGAATGCACGCGCTCCTGAGGTGCAGGTTACAGAACAGTCTTTGAGGCAGTGGGTTAGGGTAATCCCACCCGTGCTTCTCCCCAGACCTGCAGCAAGTCTAAGAGCTGGGCAGGGAGGGGCTTGGCCACCAGACCCTGAGATACCTGCAGATTTCCAGCCAAGAGGAATGCTCTTCTGCTTCTCCCCCTTCCCTCCAACACTCCCCTCCTCACTTACGGCATCATGGGTCACTGACATGGGCCTGAGGTCCGGGCGGCAAGAGCTGAGGCTTCAGAGCTGGGCACAAAGTGGCAGTGTCCAGTGACTAAACTCTTGCTTGTACCTTCTGACAGGCTTTAGTCTCCTCTAAGCCGGACCTGAAGTACACTCCTGATGTAGACCCGGCAGGCTCTTTGCTTCCACTTTCATTTCACCAAAATCCCTGCCTGTTAGATGTTCACACGCCCCCAGCTGGTTTCCCCACCCCTGGGAGGAGCCTTTCTCCTCTCGGAAGTTGACTTTACCCAGATAGGAGGCCTCAGGGGAGGCTAGATGTGGGGCCCAATCTACCACTCATTCCCAGCACAAGCCTGTGGATACAATTTTGTCTTATTTCCCTGGAGCCTAGAAAGATGCCAGGCACATACAGACTAGTTAAAATTAATTGCATGAGAAAGGCAACCACGAGGGTTAAAGCCTCTCCACCAGATTCACAAGAGCTGTACTGAAAGATAGCATTTTGTTGGGAGCTGTTTGTGCCCAATACTGGATCTGCTTTACATGAACTAACTTAATCTTTTAAAACAACCCCACAAAGTTGGTTCCATTTTTGCCATTTGACAGATGAGCTTGTACACTTCTGAGGCAGAAACTTGCTTGACGACCTACTCCTAGGAAGCATGTATCCAAACCTGGATGGTACAGTATTTGAACTTGAGCCTTGCAGGTGGAGTAGAAAGAACTTGGGAAGTTTTAGGGGCAGGGTTTAAATTCAGTTCCATTTGAACTGAGCACGCATGCCAGAGGGGTCTGAAGAGAGAAGCTCCATGTAAGTATGGTGGGTGAGGAATCAAATGAAAGTACACAGGACTCAGTGCACAATGTTTCCTATTATCTAACTCATGATTGTTCCAGAGTAATTTATAGACCCAGCCCCGCTCAGTCTCTTCCCCTATATCCCAGGTGGCTGCGTGCCAAGTACAAGGCTTGGCAAATAGGCATTTGAACCCTACTTCCAACTGGTGACAGAGAACCAATTCAAATGGAGAGCCTATTTTACCAGTAAAACAGGGTCACACGGACTGTCCAACGAAACGTAAAATGGCAAATAAAATGACCAAATACCTTTCCTGCCACTGTGGGGACCTACCTATGCCCAAGACCCGTGAACCACACTTTTTCTTGCTGGTCTCTGCTAGTCAGGCCATTTGAGGACCTCTTCTAATCTCAGTAGGAATGACCCTAGAACTAGGGGTCAGGCCTTCATTAGTCCCCACCCCGATCATCTGAGCTGTTCTCTAGTGCAGGCCTCATCACGGCAGCACCGGGGTCACCGGACAACCTGCTAGAAATACTAACCTACTGCATCTCAGGGTGGGACTTCAGTACCTTGTGGTTGGTCTGAGAACCTGAGGTGAGTGCCCACTGAGAGTGGCCTGGGGGTGTTCACAGTGGAGGGGGCAGGGAGGAGAGTGGCCCAGGTTCTCTAGGAAGGGAACAGGTTGAAGCCAGGATGCTAAACTCTGCACCTACACATCAGGAGTCTTTTTTGGGAAACCATTCAGTAGCTCACGCCTACCCACTGAGGGGTAGATGATTAAAGGATTATCAGGCGGAGGAGAGAAGTAGTCCAAGTCTCACAAAGGCATTATTTTATATACTTTCCCACAGCCTCTCCTCTCACCCACTGTCTCATATGAATGTTCTTTTTTCCTAGTCTAATAATACACACCACAGGCAGACAAGATTTTTTTTTTTTTGTATTTTTAATGACTGAAACAAAACAGATTTAAAACCGCAACTTCTGGAAGAACCATTTGTTCTTGCCGGTCTTGTACCTAGAGAGAAAAAAAGGACACCAATGAGAACAGTGAAACTAAATTCCCTTCATGAAGGACAGGGGTACCATACTGCAACATCCACTACCAAAGCGATTTACCTCTCCTCAAACTTGACCTTGGCCTCTCGCCGGGCCTTGCGTTTAAGAGCAGGATCTCTGAAGACATCCTTGTTGACGACAGTTTTGTCCAAGGGGATATCCACAGAGTACCTGGGGACAACAGTGGGGAGGGAAGATCAGCCCACACGCGGCCAGGGCCTTCACGCAGCCCAAGCACTCCTGGGACATTGGGGTGGCAGGGTCTGTCTCTACACAAGCAATCCGCAAAAGCTGTGCCAAAGTCCTGATGATACTTTTTAAAAACTGCCAATTTAAAGAGACTCAAGCAGGGGCGCCAGGTTGGCTCAGTCAGTTAAGCATCCAACTTCGGCTCAGGTCACGATGTCAGAGTCTGTGGGTTCGAGCCCCACGTCGGGCTCTGTGCTGACAGCTCAGAGCCTAGAGCCTGCCTCAGATTCTGTGTCTCCCTCTCTGCCCCTCCCCTACTCACTCCCTGTCTCTGTCAAAACAAAGACAACAAAAAAAGACTCAAGCCATTAAAATACTTCACATTTCATTCTCAACTTTCCACAGTGACTATTTTTTTTTTTTTGGCTAAGGACTGTCAATTTTATTAAATCTTCTTCACTATAACCATGGTTGTCGGTCAGCTTTCATTTTGGAGCTATTTTATTTAGTGGTGTTCAAGTTGTGCCCGGGGAAGTCAGCCTCATTATGAGAATGCGAAAGCTGGGTGACTAGTTACTGAGGTCTCATTGTTTCCCAGCACCTGAGAACTTTTAAGACAACAAATTAAGGAGGGGGCACGCGCCTGGGTGGCTCAGTTGGTTAAGCATCCGGCTTTGGCTCAGGTCATGATCTCAAGGTTCATGGGTTCCAGCCCCGCATCGGACTCTGTGCTGACAGCTCAGAGCCTGGAGCCTGCTTCAGATTCTGTGTCTCCCTCTCTCTCTGACCCTGCCCTGCTCATGCCGTCTCTATCCCTCTCTCAAAAATAATAATAATAAAAAACACAACAAATTAAGGGTAAACACACAGTCCCCAGGAGCAAACTGTAAGGCACACACTGCTGGGTTTTGGCAATTATTATTCAAGACTCTCAAATGTTTACTTCCTTAAAACCTATACACCAAGACAGTGTGAATGACACCCAATACTGTGAAAGGCCAGGAACTTAGGGACTTGAAAACTGAGAGGAATTAGTTGAGGGGAGGCTTGCTTTCCTTTATCAACAATTTTTGAAAACCTATAAAAATTATCCTTGAAAGTGGAATAGTGGAAGAGAGGAGGTCAGACTCTGTGCCTGTATTTACCGTGATTGCAAACAAATGAAGCAATCTTTACCCAACACATCTAGAATTTCCAGGTGAGGAGATAGATCAAGAGCAAGCTTGGAAGAGATTTTTCAATCCTGCTCGGCCAAGTCAGGGAAGTCATCACAGAAAATGACAGAATACAGCTCCATGATGAATTAAAGAGGCAACACTGGAGGGGTGCCTGGGTGGCTCAGTTGGTTGAGCATCCGACTTTGGCTCAGGTCAGGATCTTGCAGTTCGTGGGTCCGAGCTCTACACTGGGCTCTGTGCTGACAGCTCAGAGCTGTCATGTCTCCCTTTTGGATTCCATGTCTCCCTTTCTCTCTGCCCCTCCCCCACCCATGCTTTGTTTCTGTCTCAATTAAAAAAAAAAACATAAAAAAGTATTTTAAAAAATAAACCTTAAAAAAAATAAAATGAGGCAATACTTGAAACCACGACCACTTTGTAAGTCGTACATGTAAATGTCTCTTCCCCACACTGGAATGGCTGCAAAGTTGAAAGCTGTCTCCTTATTCAGCAGGGCAGAGAGGGGCGAAAAGAAAGTCACTTTCATAACCATTGTTGATAGGCTCACCTTGTGGGCATGAGGTGATTGTAGTTATAAACTTTCACAAAAGACTTGATCTTTGACCTTTTGGCGATTTTCTTCTTGCCCATGGCAGCTGTCACTTTGCGGGGATAGCGGTCAATTCCAGCGACCAGAGCATGGCTGTAGGGACGGTCTGAGGTGCCATCATCAATGTTCTGAACAGGCAGGAATCAATTGTTACTAACTGAGGGCCTATTCAAGGTGCTGTGCTAAATGCAGGACAGGTATCAATACCCCGGCTCCCAATCTGAGACCCACTACTGGAAAAACTGCGCAAAGCAGACCTTCTGAGTGCCACGCTAGATGCCCAGACAGTAATAGGGCTGTCACATTCATTCCCACAAGGATCTGGAAAGGCTTGTGGGAGATAATAAAAATAACAATTATTAGCATTTACTGCGTGTTTGCTTTCTATCAAGCACTGGTTCTTAGGCCTTTACATCTCTTAGCTTCTTCTACAATTGCCCGGCTAGTTGATGGTCTAACTCCAGACGGATGGGGGAAGGGAAACACAGGTGCCCCAAGTGGTCCCACAACAACCAAACGCAAGTGTGTGGCCAGAGCTTAGGAAAATCCCACAAGAGGCCACAAAATGCAGGCAGAAGACAGAGTGAAGGGCTAGAATATGCCAAGTGATCATCGACTAGAAACAGTTTCTCCTCATTTTACAGCATCCCAGCTACAGCACTTAACGTTTCCTTTCAGGTGAATTACTTAACGTCTCTAGATATCAGCAGTAGAAAGGATTCCCTCACGGTTACCTCAAGAAGCGGGCATGATACCGCTTGGAAAGCAGTGCCAGACACCAAGCGAGCGTTCGATAAATGCTGAGCATTATTATTATTATTATTATTTTTTTTTACAAATAGTTTATTGTCAAATTAGTTTCTACATAACACTCAGTGCTCATCCCCAAAGTGCCCTCCTCCATGCCCATCCCCCCTCCCCCCCAAAGCATTATTATTTTTTAAAGCCTCTTTAGTAGACAACCATCCTATGTTAGGCGCCCAATTCAACTCCCATCTGTTTTTATTTTGCACCTTCCTCTCTCAAAAGCCCTTATGCTTTCACTTCCACCCGCTACGCTCAGTTTCCAATGCCAAGCTAGCTCTGGACTTCCACGCTTGCGGGCCCTCCGACACCAGCCCCGTTCCCGGGACGCAGGCGCGCAGAGGCTCGCGAGGCGGGTACCTTCACGATGACCGCCTTGCGTCCGGAGTAGCGTCCGGCCAGGACCAGCACCACCTTCCCGGGTTTCATGAATTTGCCCATCTCTGCAGAGGAAGGAAAAGGGGCCGTTCAGAAACCCGCAAGCCGAGAATGTGGGCCCGGAAACCAAGGCGGCGTTCACGGTCTCAGCCCAGGCCGCCCGCGGGCCCCTGATCACAGGACAGGACAGCTACGAAGTCGCCAGTGACCAGGCAACA